GGCATACATACAAACTTGTGTGTGTGTGTGAAAATGTCCACTTCAAAAAGAAATTTGTTCGCCGTCAACACAGAGAGACACTAGGCAGAAATCTGCAGCTGCACTTTCAATTGCTATTTGCTTTTATTAACTCCAATGCACACATACACAAGTACCATATGTCAGTAATTTGTGCTCACCTGTCAGCATGATCGCAGCAACGCGTGCTCATGCCCGCTTTAAAGCACTTTCTAAAGTCCAATTTAGTGGAAATGAATAAATGTAGATAAGACATGCATACTAACTATTGACAACTATTGGGACATTTACTGCTAACTTTCGCGTGTATGGGTGTGCAAATAGGAATATTTTTATATACATATGTATGTGCATACATCGTATTTGACTCGTTAAAACATTTGTTGGCATCGACGACGACGGCGGCATTTTCGCGTTTTTATAAAAACTTTTAACCAAGTCCAAGGAACCTCAAAGTTATGTGTTCTTATTCATGATCGCTTCTTCAATTCCTTATCTTTCATATGATTCGAAGATGTACATCATTGTATACAAGTTCTGCATGTATTGGTATACTGTAAGGCGCTGCAAAGGAATGAAATATTTTAAAGCAGATATCTGTATATCAGTAGACTGATAAGAGACGATTGGACTGCATTGGTGAGTTGGTTCAATTGTAGTCAGATACTGAAAGAAAACTTTAAAGTTGATTTTTTTAAATACCACCATAATATACGGCTTTAAAAAAGTGCGCAGAAGTACTTCAATTTAAGGGAGTGGGCTAATGTTCAAGAGATAGCGGCGAAGACTGCGGCCCTATATGATACGATGTGAAGATCAGCCTTTGGATAGATTTCGAAACATTTTCTTGTTATTTATTCGCATTCTTAGCAAGAAGCGCAATTGGTCATGCTTGAGTTTTGTAATCAGAATGAAAAAAAAAAAAAATCTGCGTACAGAAATCCTACGTATACTTGATATAGGCCAAAACAACTATGAGTCGCCTTTTTAAAAAGTCGAATTGGGCAAGTACGGAGCTCTCGAACTACAAGTATAACTATGATTTACGGGATTTAAAAAAGAAAAAAAGAAAAATTCAAATTAGTTTATTAAATTTGAAATTAAGTTTGCATAATATTTGATTCACCCATTTTTTATTATTTCTTTCATTGCAGTTTGTTGACATCGGCATTGTTACATCCATCGAATCGAATCACAAGCAAATAGAAAGTGCTCGAAAGGGACAAGAGATTTGCATAAAAATCGAGCCGATTCCCGGTGAATCGCCAAAAATGTTTGGGCGTCATTTCGAAGCGGACGATATGCTTGTGAGCAAGGTAAGTGCATCACACTGTCAATTTCAACATTAAATAGAACATATATGAGTGCTCTCTATTGATATGTGTGAATAATTATCGGGTTATCATGAAATTTGTAAATGAAATGGAAGATCTCAGCGCATATGGAATAGATAAAAAATCAATCAAAAGCTTTTTATTAAAATTTATTTTATTTTTGATTTTCTCTAGTGCCTCAGATGCTTCCCAACTGAATTGAAATTTAAGTTAATATTGTTGAAAAACTCATTTCCCATTGAATTTTCTCTAAATATATTAGTTAAAAGTCGTAGTTTTTGTTCAAATAATTTTACAGAAAAGCAATTTTTCATGTTTTAGTTGTTTCATTAGAATTTAAGGATAATGTTATCAGAAAGCCAAAGTGAACATATATACGACGAGAGCATTTTGTGAAAAGTGAAGTTACCACTTTTTCCCTCTCCTTGAAAATAGCGTCTAACCCAATTTGTAAGCTCCTTCAACTGTTTTGCTAATACCTCAGTCCTTGAAGTAATAACTGCATTCCCCGATGCGTCAGGGATTAAAAGAAAACTTGTTTTTCTTATAATATATAGTAACAAGTACGTAAGGGATAATTTCATTATATACTCTCACAATTTGCAACTAGAGAGACCCCACAGATTGACCATATATAAGGTATAAAATCAAGCGAATGTTTGAATATCCGAATATTAGGTATATGGAGACTAGGAGAAATATTGCCCTGATTTCATCCGTTCTAGGCAAGACGATATACTGTTATTAGAGAGAACTTTTTTCTGAATTTCTTTAAGATTTCTTAGATATTGAAAAATAGATACGGTATAAAGTCAACCGAAACTCCGAAAATATTCACCGTAAATTTCAAAACTAAAAAAAACTAGAAGATATATCGGTAAAAAAATCCGCCATACGCACTGAGGTCCACATATTTGGTGTGTGGTTCTTCCAAAAGTTATAATCCGATATCGACAATTTTTGTTCGTTAGATAAAATTGCCTTGAGGGCACTATTTGGGCAAAGTTTTCTTCTGTTAATTTAATTGATGTTTGATTTGTAGAATGTAAAGTGAAAAAATCAGATGGAATTTAAAAAGTTGTTATATGAAAAATAGGCGCGGTTGTCATGAGATTTCGCTGTGTGTAATAGGAATATTTGGGTAAGCTCACGCACCAAAATTGGTTGTAATCGATGATGTAGTTCCTGGGATATAGGGTTTCACCTAATGGTGCGCAGTGCCACACCAGTTATCAAATTTTTCTACCTGCTCCTACCATACCAACTTGGTTGTGAAATTTAATACTTGTGGCGCATTTATTCAGTGAATTATCGTACTTTTAGCAGTTTTTAACATAACCGTTATATAAGGAGTGGGCGTGGTTATTATATGATGTTACCTAGTTTCGCAGAGTATGAAGAAGTGCTAAAGATATTTCTTGTCCCCCAAGTTTGGTTGATAAAGCTTAAGCGGTTTGGAAGTTATGTACCACTTTTAAAAATTATTTATCTCACAAATTTCTCTCGTTACTGTGATCGTTTATACGATTAAGGGCACTTTGAAGGCGCGGCAAAAGACAAATTTCGGCACTTGGAAGTTTCATTAAGATATATTTACTATATTTTTACTCAACTTATCGCTTGCACTGACGGACAGACAGACAGTAACTCGGATTTCAACTCTTCTAATCATCCTGATCATTTAAATATATATAACCCTCTATCTATCTCCATTAGGTTTAGGTGATACAAACTCTCGGTTGCGAGAGTATAGAAATATAAATTGTTTGCATTGCATTGCATTGACATTATTTCATACCGTTTGTGTCGTGAATTTCTTATATTTTGTTTTTAAAAGTTTTTTTATGAAATTAATTTTTTGAATGCATATGACCCTAATGTAAATTTTGAATACCATTTTTATATTTGTTCTCGTAACTTTTTAAACGCTGTCTGCAGTAATTAGAAAGTACTGTAGTAATAAAAGTAGCAGTAATATTTTCCACCGCCCACTGATCTTTGTAAGCATGCTTACAATATTTTCAAAGGTTTCTATTTGCTTAAGAATAGTGAAAAAAAATTAAAACCTTAAAAACTAGTTTTCATCGGTATTGTTATGTAAAAATCGCATTGAGACTGACATATGTATGTATATTTATTTCAATCCGAAAACGTTATCAAATTTGCCTCCGACCTTCTCCTATAACCCAATAGTCACGCAGTTCCACAATAATTTAAGCGATTTATTCGTGCGTGATTTAGAAGTAATGAAGCGTGAAGAGTTCAAAGCGTCTACATAAATACCTATGTTTCCGGTTATGTGTACATAAGTATGGTATGTATATACTTTTATCAAAGCATTAAAATCATGAGGTTGCTCATACGCAGTGACTCTCAATTGAAAGCAGCATGAATTAGACCACAAATTCACATACTAATATAAATATGTTTATACATATGTACGTATATGCTTATATGTTTTTGCATATCACTGCTCAGAGCGAATTGAAGGATTTCAAGTTATTTTTTTGTAATGTACAGATTATTTGATAGCGCTGCGATAATGCTTCGTAGTAGTTGTTGTGTTTCATGACGTCAATCTTATGTTTGCCTGTCACCTGTTTGGGGGGGGGTTATGCTTACTTTATCCACACAAAAGACGACGTCATAGCCAATATGCTGCGTTATATGCGCTTCTACCTTTTACTTTCTTGTTTAATATCTTTTTTATTGTGCATAATATAATTTGATATTACAACAGCAAATGTGAATAAAAAACTGCTGCTGCTGACACTGATTGTCGTGTGGACCACTTGACGTCTATATAAAATATGTGTTTTATGGTTGGTTAACGGCGTTTAAGAGTCATTGAAGTAAGTAAATGCGTCAGTCAAAAATATCTGCCTTCGCCATGTGCTATTTCTATTTACCGTTATTCCGTTGTAAACCCCTATTATATTACAGAATTTATGTTAAACGTGACAACGGAAATGTTGAGTTAAAAATAGTTATGAAAGGATGTCAACCCCTAAACAGAATTTTTAAATCAAAGGCAGTTCGATTTACGGTCCATTGTGCATATGTGCGTAGGTAATGCAGTACATATGTATTTGAGCCAACAATTCTCAATACTACCAAATTTGTCTTTTGCGCTCACTCCCCCTACTCGTGAGTTAATCCTGCTGAGCCTTGAGTCATTTTGTGCAATTGCAGTCGTTGTCCTCGTTTCATTCATGGCACTTGGCCTACGTAGATATGTATGTGTGTACGAGCAATAACTTGGCAAACCAAATGCATTCACCGTTGCCGGTTCGTGGCCGCTTTCATGGCGCCCCTGCTGCGCTTTTGCCGCTCCACTTGCTGTTCAACGTTGCTGACGTCAGTGGTCACCTTCTGGTTTATTGCAGCCGGTCGTTGACATTCCAGCCGGCAGCTTTTCTGCAATAACCCATTTTCAGGTTATTGCATTTAGTCTTCTTTACCTAGCGCAAGCACTTGCATATTAACCGCCCCAACCTCTCTCGCTTTGTATGCGCTGCAGTCGCTGAATTGACCTAGATTTTGGAACACGCTGCGGCCGTTGTTTGTTCTGTTGAATGAAAATTTTGTTGTTGCCATGGCTGAGTTTGTCGCTTGGGGTTGAGTGGATTCTATTTTTAGTTGATTGTGACCACAACGACACTTACAATATGACCTCAATTGTGCTGGTATTTGTTGCTTTTATCTGAAGTTTCAAAACTCATCTCAAAAACTTTTAAGGACTTTCAATACCATTTACCATATTAAAGAACATTTGTCGAACATTAAAATTTTGTAGATATTGAAGATAAATGTGTAGGAAAGTAGAAAATACTTTTGACCGTTTTCATCAAATTTTTATAAAATGAAAGAGTTTTAAATACATTCAAGAAAAAGTGTTATTCTCACTAATCATATCTGTTATAATTTCAGCATTTCTCGCAAGATATGTTTATATAAAAATTATCTTGATTATATAATTTATACTTTTTTAGTATTTTTTTCAGCATTGTATTCCACCCGCCCTGCTCGTTGCCACTCATTTTATCCAATTATCCTTATTTCAATACTTATTGTTAAATATGTTTTTAACCGTTATTTCGATTAATACAAACCATCTGCTTTCTCTTTTTCACAACTTTCAGATATCACGTCAAAGCATCGACGCCTGCAAGGACTATTTCCGCGATGATCTAATAAAGGCTGACTGGTCACTCATGGTTGAACTGAAGAAGCTTTTCGAAATTTTATAAGCTTACAAAGCCAAGCGCATACACAATATTTCAATGTAGTAAATTAAATCAACAAAAAATGTATTGCAAACAGAACAATTGAAAACATGCAAAAAAATGGCGAAAGCAACAAAAATATTTAGAAAATAAACATAATCAATATGCAACTACAGCGCAACACATTAAGAGACAAACAAAAATAAGCAAAAACAAAATACATTTGAGCACTGTCAATGAAATTAAGTTTGTAGCTTTTACTTTCTCATTTTCAAAGCTTCCCGAAAACCCTTATGTGTAACCGACGTCTGTATTCTCTGTGTTCTTTATACTATATTTTTATAATAAGTTGCTTGAAATGTGCTTTCAGTCGAATATTTGCGGAGGAAAGCTCAACAACAATATGAATGCAGTATTTGTTGTAATTCTTTTCAGTTTGCACTCTGTTATTTTCACCTCGAAGGATTTTGTTTTTAATTTTTATTGAATTAGCATTGATTTAATAATTAATACTTTTGCGCCCGTTAGTTGTTATTTATTTGGTATATTTTGTATAATTAAAGAAAATCTGAAATTCAATTAAAGCACACTTTTTATGCAAACAATTTTTTACACATTTTTTATAGTGAATGATCATTCAATATATTTGGGTCCATATAAAATATATCACAATAAATGAGTGAAATAAATATTTATTAAATGCAGAATATAACATTAGTTTCATTAATCAGTTTTGGATAAGCTTTTGACAGGTGAGACAGGTTTTATAACAGCACTCAGTGACGATTTCTGTAGCAAGTAACACAGGCTTAGAAGTACTAAATGACTGCTGTCTTCTGTGCTGGATTGTTTGATGCGCGATTTTTTAATTTGGCAAAAGCACAGAGCTGCGATCATTGTGACACCTGATAGTGGAGACATCTTTTGTTTAGAAATTTGCTTACGATTTTTCGATTAGGCAATATCGCAACGGGTTTTAGGATTCATATAATTCTGTATATTCAAGTGCTGTTCTATCAATCTATTAATAGCCAAAGGTCGCACGCCAAAGGCTAAAGCACAAACATTGACTTCAATTACTCTGTATGAAAATAACTGCTGATGTGCCTGCAGTTGACCCTCGCCATTTTTTATATCCTGCGAGTTTACCGTGAAACAACATTAAAGAGCGGCAGTGCAGTTCCGATTCAGCTGGCGTTTTCATTCAAGGCAACTGATTACGCATGCAAAAGTGCAACTGCGAACTGGGAAGGCAACTAACGAATACCGTTATTCATGCAGCACTGAAACAGTGTTGAACGAGGGAAACTGGAGCAAAAGTTCAAGAGTGTGTGAACGGTTCATAAACCTCCAACTCAATGGTTATGTACACTTTTCGTTGGAAATATGTATTCGGTCTATTTATAGCTGTATATGCTTATACCTTCATTAAGGATTTTGGTCAGCGCTTTCATTGCAGTTTATAAAAAACGCTTTTCGTTGCATTCATTTTCCCATAAGAATCTGTTGCTTTTTGTATATTTTCAGAAGCGAAGCTAAGTCCTTGTTCCACTTTCGCTGGCGCTTCGTGTGAGTGATGACGCTTGCTCAACGAGCAATTTTTGATTCATGGCGAATACCTGGCCACACTTAAACGCCGGTTCGCTTGTTTGCCACTTCTCAATGAAAATGACATAGATTGCATCTGGTACATAAATACATACACACATACACACGACAAGATGCGATTTTATTGCTAAGCGGTAAGCGTCATAGCAACATGTATATGGTAAGTGCTCGTCTCTACTTATCTGACACATTTTTAAAATGTACACATTCTCATTTTTGGATATACATATGTACATACAAATATGCCTACCTCTGACGTCATAATAATTCGAAAAGTCCGGATTCTGGCTTTGTCCGGACGGTGGTGTAAAGACGTTGGATTTTTTCCTCAGCATTTTTTTGCCAAAAATAACTAATTATGGAAGACGGGGGTAAAGAAGATTAGAAGTAAATCTTGGTTTTAGTATTCCCTAAGAGAGAACGTTTATCTAATTAATATGCTGAAATATTAGATATATAACGATGAAAGTTTTCGGCTCCAATAAATTCTGAGCTACAACTTTTGCCTGCGTCATTGATTGCCCCATTCAAGGATTCCAATGTGTGTGTGTTCGATACACACATTGGTTTTCATTCATCATTTGTACAAGGCCGATGGTGGTTCTCTGAAAAAAGCTACGATTGATAAAATTTAAAGATGCAACTTATACAACATGTCACATACATACATACATATCACATACATACATACCTGTACACTGCGTCACATCTACTTATATATGCATGTTTGGTTTACCTACATATATGTATCCCTGAGCGTGTACTGGCACTCACGTATGTCGGTTTGACCTAGTTATTCCTTATATCGACTAGTTGCTCCTCATTTGCCGCAGACACAATACCACCGTACCACCACTGACGCTGGCAACGCTGCAGTTACTCATACACACAGACACTGGAATGCCATTCAAGCGTTGAGCAGCATACATGCAGCGGAAATATGCCTCTTGTATACTATAAGGTATATATCATATATTATTTACCAGAGTACTATATATTAACCTACATACATATAACATATAAATATGTACATATGTATGTCATTCACTGGTACTGTGCTCATTCATTGAGCATAGCATCAGCGTTGTGCTTTGAATTTGCTTCTCTCCTCTCGCCAAAACCAAAGGCGAGCATGGCTAATTTTGGGTCCACAATATTCCGCATCACCTTACTGGTCTCTTAGGATTTCTTTCCTGGCTGTGTGCGTTTGGGAAATGACCTCGCGAACTTTGTTGACGCAATGGTTGTTTTGAATTATGGTACTGGCAATTCTCGGGTTGCATTGTTGATGGTCGAAGGAGCACAATATACTCGAATTACGACTTCGTTGACCTGAGTAGGTCCTTTCAGAGTATTTTAACGAAGAAGATGCCTGTAGAGGGAATATTAGTGGAGTTTATAAAGTCAAGACCTTGTTATCTAATAATGTCTGGTACAGTGAGTGCTGAGAAACTGCGGATTTCCTAAGATAAAACCTTCCAATAACCTCGAGCTCGGAACTCTACAGCGGTTGAATGATTGTACACTTGGTTCCAACTATCATTTTAATATGAATGAAGAAAAGTATATTTAAAACAAATTAACAAGCCATCATATCTCTCGTGATAAATAGTTGCATGTGAGGATGTAAGAACAGCGTGTTGAAGCACTCGTGCTGCAACTCTTTCAGCGGGAGCCAGTACCAACGAACCTCAGTGTAGATATATATATATATATGTGTGGTAGACGATGAATGAAAGAAAGTAGCGTCTGTTACATGTTGGTAGCGTTTAGACGAGCAAGCAAGCACCAAACATCAATACATTGGAAGATGGAAGACGCGAAATGCGTGCATTAATTACTAACAACAATTGCCAACCATCGCTATTAAAAATCGCTTTAAATACTTAGATACGTACATATTTATTTTTGGGTTTTTATATTTGTGTGATTTATGCAAATACCTATGTATGTGTGTATGTAACGTGACTCATTGTTACCTTGCTGGCAACCATAGTGCATCCCATTCAGCAGAAGCGTCTTCAGATGTGTCTCTACATCCCTCTGTCACGATTCTGCGCAGTACAACACTGGGTCAGTGTCCTCATGTTAGCGAGGTCGTGTTCCAATTATTTATGTTGCTGCAGTCTATGCGGTCGATGAATGGGCGCTCCGTACTCACCACACCTCTCTTTATACATGCTTGTAACACTTGTATACCATATGTATTTGTGCAAGTGTGTGTATTTGCTTTGAAAATGCGGCAATGCAGTATTGCATAGGTCAACGGCAGAGCAATGACGTCATTGCCTGTAGCATTCAACATAATATCATTATGGTGTCATATCGAATCCACGGTGCAGTTAAAACTGCGTGTATATGGTTTCTATAAGGCTATCTCTTAAATATTAAATTAATTTCATTTTACCGCTTCAGAAGAGTTATGTTTGAGTCATAGTTCCCGTGTTTCAATATTTCTAAGTTATGTGTTCTTCCATTCTTCACTCCATGTCAAGGCAGGATTGATTGTGTGTGGCGAGTGCGTTGCAATTACATTGAAAATATAAATAAGAATTTTATGTATGCAGTTGTGCATCGTGGTTTATTTGGTTTAAATTTTATGGTTTAAATGTAGGTCATCACTTTTGGTGCGTCAACATTTGCCTCGTTATGTGCTTTACCCTTTAGTGAAGGTTCAGTCGATCTCGCGCCCGTAGTGTGCAACGGCCAGCCAATTCAATCACAACATACAACATATAGTGCTTTGATAAGATAAAAAGTAAAAATAATTACAAATGTAGTTACAAATACAAATAAATTGATAAATCGTGTGTCAGTTATGTAAGATTAATGCTACTTGTATATTTGCAGTGCCAATGCTTAACAAACATTTCGATTACAATTCGAATACATAAAAATGCATACATGAGTATGTAAGTGCAACATTGAGTGAGGTGAAAAGTGATTTTATTAATTGCTCGCAACTTTATTCATTTCAGAAAAAATTACATATATGAATGATGTGATGAATCTAAATGTAAGTACTTGTACATCATTATATGTAATTGAAATGAAAAGAATTACTCTTTATAAGGAAATTATGTGAGCGCTAACATGGAATTTTGTTTACGTAAACACATACGCAGAATCGATCAATAGCTTCTTTATATACATATACATATGTATAAACATATACTTGTATATATATATGTATATAAAATGGTGTAATAGCTGCCTTTATTATCGCTATGAAATACTTCTTGGGATTATTGCATTCTACCATAGGCGTGAATATTATCCTCGACTTCGAAATCAGTCAGACTGTCTCGAATAATTCAAAAAAGTTATGGTAATGATTCTGAAAACCATAAATGTGCAACGTTCGATTAAAAATATATTGTAACTTCATACTTATCATACAGTTACTCATACGCTCTGGTGATCATAAATACATATGTATGTATTGAGAAATGTAATGAAGCATATGTATATAATAAATCTAAGAACTGATTGTTTATTTGTTGGCGTCGTTGCAGTTATTACCGATAACGAAAACAAGTTCTGAATAAAATCAAAAAAGTTTGCATACATACATATAATATCTACATAAGTACTAAAAAATACTAAATAAAATTAGCTAATGCCCAGCATAAATACGTATATATATGTATAGTCGTATGTGTAATTTACTCTGTGCATATATACTGAAATGCCTTGAAAAACCTATTCTCTCAATGAAAATAGAAAAGTATACACTGGTGAATGCTGCGAATTCATTCAGATATATTTTGACAACCCCCTTTTGTGCAATAACACACATACGCACATGTATGTATAAGGGCATATGAATGACAATCATTGAGCAAAAGCTGTGGTGAGTTTGAGTAAAGATGTTCAAAGTAGTACATACACATTCATATACACATGTAAGAACTTATTTATAAAACAAATAAAGAGAGTAAGAAGGAAAGAGAGAGAGAGAGTGACTAAACTCGCAAAATGCAATTGAAAACTGTAACGTCATAGATAAATGCGGAATGGTGAAAAGAAAGAAAGCAACAGGAAAATCAATGAAAAATGGTAAGAGGGCTTTTATGCTTTGTATGACGTCATCGCCATT